TGTAGATACTGAATAGAAGTGGGGCAAACGCACTGCCTTGTGATAAGTTGTTCTTTTTGGGAGCTCCATCTACTTTTTCTAGCCACATAGTTCCAGAGTTTTTTAGTTCTACATAGAAGTGCCTGTTCTCCAAGAGGCTACGAATGGTCTGACTTAGATCTAAGTCGGACGTCATGAGGTACAGTTTGTGCATCATGATGTGGTGTTGGACAGTACTATATGCAGCAGATAGGTCAACAAATGTTGGAGCCTAACGTAAATATATAAACATCTACCAGCATAACTTTGTAAGTGTCTGGCTTGTCTCCTGGAAAGACCATCTGGTTTTTCAGACATGCTAAAATCAAATGGTGTTTTGTTGCAGGATCTCCTTCATACGGTCTTCAAGAATGGAAAGGTTACAAAGTCTTATTCGTTCGATGAAGTAAGACACAATGCCAGACTGAATAACAGTGAACTACAAGGGACACCTCATTAAGTTTCATTCCACGTCTGTGTGTGGTGTGTAACAAGTATGTACTGCATAGCTAATGGGTTTATTGTACAGATCTGTGTGTTTGTGTTTTACGATACATTGCAGCCAAATTATTTGTTGGTTTATGGACATACTGCCCTATTTTTTTGCCAGTCCTTAGAAAAGATGCAATCAGGAAATGGTACTTACGTTGTCAAACATTCAGTGCTGAAGTGTGCTTTTTTTTTTAGGGCCCTTTGCCAGTAGTGGTTCAATCTGGTATTGATCTTTTCACAAAGGAGACGGAGCTGAGAAACTTTTTTATATATAACAGAATACCACAAAATGGATTTACATAAAATTCTCATGATTGCTTTATGTTTATATTTAACTTGTATTTTTGTACAAACAAGATTGTGTAAAATATATTTAAAATTTCAATAATTAAGTCTTTCCAACTTTTCATGATTTTTATGAGCACAGACTTTCAAGAAAATATTTGGGGGGAGGGGGAATCCATTGCCTCTTGTCCATTAATCAGCAAATAAAACATGGCCTTAAAAATTTGTTGTGACATTGTACCATTTGAAAGTTAAATCAGGACTTGTAGCTTCTTAAGACCCCATAGAACTGCTGACCTCACTGTTTCTTGTAGTTATCTGTATTAATCATTCTCCATTAAGGAAAATTTACTGTTCTTACTAGAAGGTTTAGGTACTACAAATCTATAGGCCTTGCCAGTAAGGTATATAAAGGGAATGCCAAATTTGAAAGAATTCTCTTCTGCAACTTACCTTGCCAAGTGTAACCCACTTGGCTTATGCACCTCAATATTTTAAGAGTAATGTTTTTAAGAGCTCTCCTCTTCTACTATAAAATATACAGATAAATGTGGAAGTGGTGTATTTTAAAATAATTACACATCTGGGTTTATTTTTCATAGACTGTAAGTGACACGACTTTAAAATTAAATACTGGACTGGGTAGTGCACTCTTTTATTTTTTGTATTTCTTCATTCATTTGCCTTTTTGTCAGACTGGATGGGTATGTTGTACAAATGTTTAACTAGTTTTATTCAAGCTGTTTAACAAAAAATTACATGAGCCAAAACTTCTACATGATACCAGACACAACCCTATGTGAGGGTTACGATGCAGAGGGTGACTGATAACTAAAGGTATGAAAGGTACATTTTGGATGACTGCATTTGATAGTGTTCACTCTCTGCAGAAACTAGGTTGCCTACAGGAGAAAAAGATTGTCTAATTTTGTATGATGAACTATAGTGAGCGTGCATATGTTTTGACAGTGTTGCAAGGTAGCTTTTATGAGGAAGAAAAATGGTTGGTTTTCCTTATGTTTAATGAGTGACTATAAATCACTGATTGTTGTACAGATGTTGCATTTTTTTTCTAACACAGTAGCAGATAATCTCACAAGGCAGGATGTCAGAACTATTCTAAACCCTAACCAAAATCAACAAAATGGTATTGCAAAACACTTGTTTCTGTAAAGGATGCTTGAAAAGCCATACTTCGTTTTTCTCACCAAAAAGGGCCACAGAATACTTGTAACAAGTAACATTGTGTTTCCAGGGGGTTTGTAGTAAGACGTTTGTGCCCAGTCTTAATGGTTTTGCTTACTAAAAATGATTTTTCCACTCTTACTGTATGTGATCATACGTTTAAGTGATGTATCTAGAAACACTGGCCTTTCACATCAAGGAACTGCCTTCCTGTTGCTGTTTAAACATTTGTTCTTGGTGAAGAAGGATGTATCAAATCCAGAGATATGATTAATAAGTTAAATAGAACAGACTATTTCACTCATTCATTTGATATGTATTAGGAATTTTATGATGTATGGTTTAAAGAAATAAAGTAAAATGCTGCTTTCATTCTGTACCAATAAAGATTTTGATAACTATTGACTACCCATAATTGATATTTTTGTATTTAGGAACTGGGGATACGCTGTGGAAGCACTGTGTTCTTGTGTACTGCAAGATACATGAGTGATTTGTTTGGTATTATGTCTAGCGTAAGTTTATTTGGAAACTCTCACCTAAACTGTGTATGTCACTATCAGAAACTTGTCATCCTTTTTTTTTTTTTTTTTTTTTTTTTTAAGTTAGTATTTTAAAGCCACCTGGTGCTAGTCAATCCTGAACTCATGCCTCCCAAGTGTTTAGTGTTTGGCAATTAAAACCTAGGCATCAAGGGATCGATATTGATGTCAAATATAACTTACTGCAGTGCTTGAATCTTACAATATCCTAATTCTTCCATACAGAAGCAAACAGCATGTTTGGGTTTGCTTTAAATAATTAGATTTTTAGCCATCAATATATTTTAATTATCCTCCATTTCATAATATAGACAGTATTTATATTTAAAAATAGGAGTTGGGAGTTTTGTGTTAATACTCTAAATAATTTATTTGTAACCAGTATCTAGCATAAGAAATGGATTTTATATGCCTATTTTTTCCTGAGATGTGTGGTTATGAAACTGATGCTAAATCTTTTTATAAGAAGATTCATCTTGAAAGATCTGAGGAGAAAATAGAAAAATATTTATTGTTCTGTTTTGCCAAAATTCAAAAAAGTTTTAAATGGTTTTTCTATAGTTTTACATTCCTCCTTAACCTGTTGAGTGGAGAGTAAACACTCTTCACTGAAATCTTATGTTAAAATAATCTAATGTACTTGGCATCAAATACAAATGTGTAATAAACATGGAAATAAAGTTTTAGTTCTGGTAGTGAAACTTCAATATCCATTTGACTTTGTTTTAAAGCTTAGATGTTGACCTCACATACATACCACTACCTGCAATATACCAGGGTGCAAGTGAGGTGCTACCATAACCCACTCTAGGATAACTGAACCAACCCACTGAACAGTGCATTTATATATTGAACTTGTATTTCAGCACCTTTCTAG